AAAAAAAAAACTTATATTTTTTTTAAATATTTTATTTTATAATAATAGATGGGTATTAAGCACATTGTTTGTATGCAGGGGACATCTTTTGCCGGGCCTCGAGTGGAAAACGGACGAAACACGGCATGGTGGATGGTTGACATTGGCCACGGTCATCAGGTTTGACTTTCCCCGTCAATGTTGCAATTTCTTAAATTTCACTTGATGAAAATTTCGTTTACGATTTTTATCGTCTTATTTTCCCTCCCTTTCTTTGACAGTTGATGTGCAACTATTACACGCTAAGGCAGGATGGATCGACAGCTTTCATCAGGAAATGGAGCTTCCAGGTCTGGACAGATATATATTATGCATTTAAGACAATTATATATATATATATATATATATATATACACGGCTAGTTTTATAAACTACCTTTTAATTTAATTTAAAAAAATATGTTTTTATCTTTCGAATAATACCGGTTGAGATGCTATACAAAGAGAAACACCTTTGGTTGCTACAATAGAAGCAAATGACTAAGAGTTGATAATTTTGTGTTCTATTTTTTTAAGGTAATTACTAATTAGTTTATTACACATTTTATGTGCACTTGGTTTGAATCCAAATTACAGGGCTCGATGGATGGCAACAGCTGGACAAACTTGAGAGTACACGAGAACGATGAGACGATGATCAAGCCCGGTCAATTTGCATCGTGGCCCGTTGTTGGCCCGAATGCGCTTCTTCCCTTTAGATACTTTCGAGTTGTTCTGATGGCTCCAACTACCGATACCACTAACCCCTGGAACTTGTGCATATGTTTCCTCGAGCTGTATGGCTATTTCCATTAAACTGTGTTTGTGAAACGAAGTTTTGATGGCCGAGTTTGTATGAGTAAATAATGTATCTGGCAATTTTTTTTCTTTTCATTTATTTTGTTTTTAAAATTGTTGTGTGAACCAGCTATTTGTTTAGTTGGTTTTTGTAGTGAGTTGGCTGATTATTGTTGCACAAGTTAATATGTGCATCTAATTTAGTTATATAGCATAATGAATTCTGGACTCCAACAATTGTCTTTGTTATATTGACAGAGATTAAGAAAGAGAAATTTACACAATTTACATCCCCTTAAGAAAATAATAACACAAATACGAGCACACAAAAGTTTAATCAGAAATACGTTATTCAATAATTAAAAGGAGATTTAGTGCGGTTAAGATGGCCAAATTAACCATTAAGTGCACTTAATTACATATCAATTCCGATATTAGTGGCATTTTTTTTTTTAAAAAAAGAAAATAATCTCAAAGAACTCCTACATGATTTTCTGGATGTGTGAAAAATCTCCACATCTCTCTCCAAATCTCGAGTAAAACATATTCTTCCAAAAAAAAAAAACTTTAATCTCTCAAGGGGATTACATCATCGCCGGCGGAGATCACATATTCTCTGTTCGTCTTTCCGAGCAGTCGTCCAAGGTCAACGTTTCACCCAGAACTTCTCCGACGAGCCCGTCTCAGTAGCGAAGTGACCATATTTCCGGTGAAGAAAAGTAAGTGTTCAGTGTTTGGGACTGAGTTAATTAATTGCCTTTTTTCTTTTATTTTGTTCTTTTTTTTAAGGAAAAATTATATGTTAGGATCAGGTAAAATTGAGTATGTTTGTTGTTTAGGGGGTGAAGAAGGGGTTATTTAATTTATGGTTCAGTGTAGAGTATTGACCAATTGAGTTATGCATAAGGACATTCAATTTTGTTCTCATCCGGCTTCATTGTCCTTGCACCTTTTTTATTTAAGACCAATATTTTTACAAAATTTTAATTTTGTTCTCTTCTCAAATTTCAGTGCACTCAATTTTCGGTGAAACTGGGAAGAACAATGGAAAAGGAAAATAAAATCGAGAATAAACCCTCCAAAAGTGCAGACGAAGCAAGGATAACTCGCTCGCGATCTCGTCGCACATCTCAATTTAAACCTCCCGAGCGGAAGATTGTACAAAAAAAGCTTCAATTTCAGAAAATAGAGCCTACTAGCTGCGCCAAAATTCGGACCAGAAGACAGCCGAGGGTGAGTCGGACGACGATGATTTTGTCTCCGAGCATAAAATGAAACAAAAAGCGACAAAGATGACTGAAGACACCAAGTATAAGAGGGCTCGAAGAAACAGGGGTGGGGGCGAAAATTGTTGATGCTCCAAAGAATCAACAACAGTCTGATTCGGATGAGAGCGACGATGATTTCCCCCGGGATGCTTGATGATATAGAATGTGCGAAGCTGACATCAGTTAGTTAGAGTATGCCTACCTTTTGAAGTAGTACTGTTTGTCTTTTGTGTATGGAGAGTTGAACCATGTTGGTACTATTTAGAATTATGTTGTGATTCATTTTTTTTTGTTTTTTTTTTCTTATTTCCTGGTGAATTTCTGAAGGAATATTGGTGTTGTTTCTTTTGTATATTTGATTTCCATGAGGTTAATCTATCAAAATGCACTGTTCGGATAAGCAATACACTTATACTCCGTTTATTATGTATATATATATACATAAGATAAACAGTTCAAAATCATACTTTAGATTATGCAGTAACCAGATAAACAATATATAAACATTAACTTGTATGTAGAACTTATATAGTAATGTATCTTACACCTACCGTTTATTCTACATATATATACACCTAATATAGACATTCTATAAACATATATTTTTTTTAGCACACATACCGTTTATTGTAATATATATGAACATAAGATAAACAGTATATAAACATATATTTTTTTCTTTTTGCACACATACCGTTTATTACTGTTTATATAAACATAAGATAAACGGTATATAAACACATATTTTTTAATAGCTCACACACCGTTTATTGTGAATATATATACACCTAATATAAACAGTATATAAACTTATATTTCTTTTTCAACACACAACCGATTATTACGTATATATAACCATAAGATAAACAATATATAAATATTTTTTTTTCTGCGATAACCCGATAAACAGTATATAAACATTGACTTACATGTAGAACTCATATAGGTTTGAATTGCAACATTCATTTTTTTTTTTTTTTAAATAGTCCTGTACAATTGTACCAAAAGTAAAGAATAACCTAACAACATAAAAATTTACCCATACCACAAATGAAACAATAAGCAAACACATCAATCTAATTTTGTTTCACTCTCTTTGGATTGAACATGTCTTCTTCACTTTGAACTGGTATTGGTTTGTTATTGCATGGTGGCTGAGCAACTTCATCACTTCATTTTTTTCTCTGAAAGATTGGCCGACCACAACATCCCATAGCATACTTCCATCGACACCACATTCAAGTGTTCTGAAGTTATTTATCTCCTGTTTATCTTCCGTATACTTAACTGCTTCCAGTATTGTATCTGCAGCATGTTCGGCAAATGCTCTATAAAATTCATCTCTTTCAGAGTTACCCCGGGTCGGCTCAAGACATTTTAACCCTTCTATATCACACACAGACGGATATGTAGATATTGGCATTATGCCTCGAACTGGTGAGGGGACGTTTATTAATTTTTTTAAAACCACACA